ACAGGTTGCCATCCAGACATCCAAATAAGCCAAGAGACATGGCTGTCAGCCATGGGGATATGTAACAAACCTGGTTGCAGGAAGTTCAGTTGGGCCACCCTTATATGCACTGCCAATTAATTGGTTATGCAAGTTTTAGTGCACTATCAGACCACTGCCAATGGAAGTAAATGCATAGGGCATGCACAAACATGATACCTCTGCCAAAGTAATATCTGGCTCTCAAACAATGGATTTCAGAAGCAGGATTTATACTTACTGGCAATAAAGAATTGTCTCAATAGATTATTTATTCATTTTCCACTTAAACTGACTTTAAATATTATATGATGTATATAAGGAGGTGCTGAAAAGATCTCAGCCTGATCTACTTACCAAAATCTGAACAATTGACCAAACAAAAGATTATTTTAAATCCCTTCTTTATTGGACTGCAAACTTTTCAACAAAAATAGTATAAAGACAGTCATTTAAGACTATTTTAATACAGGGGGCAATTGCAGCTATACTATTTTTAGAAATCTTAGAAAGCTTATGGAATGAATTATATCCTGAAATTCTGAAAAATTAACAAATAAAGATATATGTGTATGCATTCCAAATTCTGAGACTATATTATTAACTTAACTTTCAGGATCCTAGTTAATCAAACAAAAAAATGACAGTGAAAAAAATTTTTTACATGATAATGAACTCAAATATCTTATGCCTAATTCACATCACATTACTCCAACATGAATAATAATTAATTTTGATTATAGAACTGCAACATGCCTAGCAGGAAAGTTATTATCATTGAAAAACTACAGGTAGTACTATATATCCTTTAATTATACATGAGCTAAAGAAACCCATTAGCATTTCCTATTTAATCAAAATTTATAAGAAAAAATATTCTATCCCTATCTAGCATGTTGAATAAATTGCTATATCTGAAAGAAAGAAGTCTAATTATAGATACCAGTGAAATCATCTTGGAAATAAGACAAAAGTAGCTTGATGACATTTATAGAAAACATATACAATTAGTGAATTCAAATAGAGAAAAATGTTTATCATTTTCATGATGTAATTCATCTATGGATTTTTTCTTACAATCCATTTGGCAAAACTTTCCATTCCATCAGCAAATATACAGAAATATATATTTTGTGAGGCAAATTTCTTTGTTTTGGATCAAAGTATAAAAATCAATAGAAATCAACAAGAAAACAAAATTGGCTTTTCTACTTCAATGATACAAGAAGTATACAGCAAGTTTTTTAACAAACTTTCTGATAACAAAATGTTTTTAAATGTCCATGATGTACAGAAATTCTGCATATAATAGATAATTATTGTAAAGCAGTTTTAGAAGAAGTTTTTAAATTGTTATTTTCATGCAAGTTGTTATTCAAAGAAAACAAATTTGTTTTAAACAGATAAATGAAGTATGGGGCATGGTTCATGGAAATGTTTCCCTGGAAGATCCTCCTTATTGCACCAATGGAATAAGATAGTTTCTGACACAGAGTGAACCCCTGTTTTTTTATATACTAGAATTCATCTAAAACAAGGCTTGAGATCCACTTAAGATATAGGGTTACTGTTAAAATGGTAATGAAGAAGGTGTATGATTAGGAAAGAAAGAAAATGCGGTAAGAAATGAAGATTATGAAGATAAAAAGGAGAGATAATGATTGCTGTGTTCAAGGAAGTGCCAACGTGGGAGTCTGTTCCAAAAAGTGGCAGTTTTTGCAATGTTTCATCTGTAGGAAAGAGGCTATAGAGTGGAGAATAAGTCTTACTCCCACAAGACCACATAATTTTGAATTGTCTAGGTTAGAAATTGAGGATTGAGTAGCCCCAGCCCAGATATGGCATCAATATTCCATTTTTGATCTAATCTGATTCTTGTAAAGATAAAACATAGGAGTTAGGCATTTGTTGGAGTGACAGAATAAACTGACAATTTCTCCAACAGCGTTTTTTAATGGATTGCATATACAAGTTCCACTTGAGGTCTGGTGTTCCAATAGATGTTCAAAGCATGGAGACTCATTGAGATTGTAACTACTCATCAGGACTGGAGAAAACTCAGGGTCTGAATGGTGATGATGAAACAATACAATCTTGATTTTTGAGGTAAGTTACAACCCAGTTTTTGTCTGTCTTTTTTTCCATTGAGCATTTTGAGCTAGGTCAGAAGAGAGATCAACTCTGATGCTCTAATTATCTTGGTAGAACAAAACTTTTTGAAAACATAGCTATGCATCCCATTTACTCTTGTAAGGAGGCAAATGAATACCATCAAACTTATATTGCACTTCTTGGTATAAATGATAGTCTGAATTAAATATTTCATTAAGAAAGAAAAGATCCATTCAAAATGAAAAATCTATAGACATCTATTACTAAAATCTTAAGAATTCTCTAATATCCACAAGGCAAAGGTGACTATATTTTTTATGTTCACCATCATTTTCTATTCTTTAATAATTAAATAATCAAGCCACAGAACAATATGTAGGTCTCCTTTTCATAGGTAAGGGATAACAAGTCCTATCAAACTAAGATCAGAATGTTTGGCAATCAATCTGTTACCATTGTTGACTATCTTTTCAGAGGAATTCATCTGGTTCCCTTCATGGTTGATGAATTATTATGGGGCCAATAAGAACAACACTTTTCTGCAAGTAGAGCATTCAAAAAGATCTTGGATGATACAGTAGAAGAGTTCTGTATGTGATATCTTCAGTGGCATGCCTCTGTCTACTAGACCAACCATGCTGCTGTGGTTTGAATAACATTGCCAACTGGCCCAACCACCAGCCAACTTTTCTAATTGGTTAGGGAAGATATTACAGGTTTTCAAGACAGTCCTTATATGGCCTTTGCATCACTTGTAATGTCTACTGACAACGCTACTGTCTGATTCCAATTCACCAAACAAAGCATATCACAGGAGTCAGTTATCTTGCATGCAGATCATACAGCCAACCCAATGTAGCTCCTGATCAACAAACCTGACTTCTGTGGTCATTCATTGTGAACAGTTCATGCTACAGGGATAATCACTAAGCAAGAAAGTAGTATAATAAAATATCTAAATAAAACCAGTTTCCAACAATGAGGTAAAAAATTAACAGGGATTATATATCTATCTATTTCTTTGTATTAAAGAAAGACTTCACAAATAAATAAAATTAAGTTTATTCTCACAACACTCAGTAACATCATGGTATTATTTAATTTGGTAAGTTTTGATATGACCAAAAGCTGTAAGAACAGAAATTATGATCGATCAATTTTATTGATTGATCCAAATAAAAAAATTGACTTTCATGTTAGGAAAAAAAATGAGGACACTGTTTGAAAATTCTAAGTTAAAGTGCTTCTCTCACCACATTAGTTTGATACAAAGAAACGTTTTCAGTTATATTCATTAAAATCAATGAAGTTACAGTTGAGTTTTTAATAAATAATACTTGGATAAAAAATAGGATAACAATAATGCTGTTGATAGTAGATGCTTTTCTGATTGGAAACATTACCATCCAACTGATAAATTTAACAAATTAGAAAAAAAAATATTCTTTTTTTTTTTTATCAAGATAAACAGATAGATATTTTTAGATTGGAATTAATCTTGTTTCTGTTGTTATATTGATGTCATTTAAGATAAACACTTAATGTTCTCACAATACAACATTTTAAGAGGAAAAGGCTTATGGCCATATCAAGTTGACACACCAATTTTCATATGATCACCAGTTAAGCAATGTTGAGCCTGGTCAGTACCTAGATGGGTAATCGTTTGTGCTGTAGTTTGGATATGTAAGTGGTGTAATGGAAAACAGCTCAAAGTTAGAAAAGGGAGAGCCAAGTTCCTATCACAGTTAGGTTCATTATTCTCTCTTACATGCAAATATCCTTGGGAAAAGTATAAACCCACCTTGTCTACCTCTAGTTACAGGTTAATTAGTGGAATTTGTATTAGTAAATTATTATCTCCCAAAAATTCTTACAATTTAAAAATATTTTCTGGCTTTAAATAACCTGCAAGGGGTTGATAAGCAATAAAAAACCAAATCAATCAATCTAGGAAAAGAAATTCCTTTCTGTTGTAATACTGATGTTACAGTTTGATAAATTATTGTTCCTTCTTTTGGTAATTCTCTTTTTAAATAGACTAGCAGTAAAGCCCGGCATTGCTCAGGGTTTTATGTAGTTAAAGTGCTTTGGGGTTTGAATTATTGAACTTACACATGTGTCCGCAGTTTTTAAGGTCACTAATAGGCCGTGAAACTCACTGGTAGCAAAATCAATGAGATCAAGGGCGACCAGTTGCAATAGGTGGCTGCTGTGTGGCTGCTCTGTGCTTACCCGAAGACTGCCATCCATTCATAATCGGTCGAGATTTTTAATTCTGGCAATGTAAAATAGTAGTTGCATTTTCACTGTAAGACTCAGCCCTTCACTATTAAGTCCATAAGTTTTCCCAGTTTTAAATGGAATATGCAGGCAGTAATGTCATATCTGTGAGTGTATTCCTGTCCGGGTAAGAGTTCACACGTTATCTCAACCCCTTTGGGGTTGCAGGTAAACGTTATAAATAAGTCTGGCCGCCCATATGGCCTAATGTATGTTATAGTATCCTGTGTGCGTTCATGCATGTAACTATCTATGAAGCAGGTTGAAGTCTCCATTCCTAACCATGAACTGGTATGAGTAGAAGGCCTTGCACGATAAGGCTTTGGAAGACGTTGTAGGTTGGCCACTCAGAGTATGAAGGGGAATGCCAAAGTAGTAGCCATTGTCACCATAAGGGAAAAGTAAAGGGTACTGCAATGCATATGATCGATGGGTCTCTGAAATCCTGCAAAGAGCACCGTCTCTTGATTTGAAGACAATATCTCGAGTGAGGTCTTGCTCCCCATGTATAATAGCAGCCACTTCATTGCATGCAGGAGCATTGTAGCAGCATTCATGTTCATCATGAGGCCATTTGTTGGTGTCAATTACAATGCTGAAGGAAGGAAAGGGAGCATTTTACAAAGCATATTTGAAACTGCAAATGTAGCTGTTAACCTCGTGAAGCATGGTCTGAAGTAGTAGTATGATGTCCCTGCGAGGAACTTTTTCTGATGGCGGCAAAATACCAATCTGGGTTTTGGCCTGTAGGTTGTAGTCTGCAATAAAGTACAGTTGAAGGAATTTAGGTGTAGAGGTCTCCTCAGGCAGCAGAGACCTAATGCAGTGGTATACCTGCCCCTGTACTTTGAAAGTGGGCATCCAACCCACTTCTCGACCACCTGAGCCCCAAATGAGGTCATCTGAAAGGAGTTGTTGTATTGCCTAATTGTTTTAAGGAAGTGGTTGGAATCGGGATCGGAGCTGGCTATTAGTCCCCTCAGCAGGGTAGGTGGTTCATGCAGAAGTGGCAGTCGAACTTTGATGGAGGAGCAGCACAGACAGGCAGGATCCCCGGCCCATTTGTGGAGATTGCAGAATTGGCAAATGCAGGTCATGGACTCTACATTGAGGTTGTCATGTATAGTTAAGTTAATGCTGGGGTTGTAATTGAAAGCTAAGAAAGACCAAAAAGAGCTACTGGGACAGGTAATACCATGGACAGCCGCAAGGCTCTTAATGTCGCCGTTGAGGCATATGTGGCGAGCTTGGGGAGATTGAGATAAGCGCACAGCAGCCATGTTTGTAGCAGCCCTTGAAAGTCTGTTTGCCCTTGTCTGTGGGTTCTAGGAGTTTCTGGCAGCAGAAGTCATTGCAGCAGTGTCCCTGGATTGACGGGCGCGCCTGCGGTCAAATGTTTCAGCTGCCCTCAACCTGGCAGTGGTGGCAGTATTTCTAGCATTTCAAACAGACCTACGGAGCAGTGTCTCAGCAGCCCTAGCAGTTGCTTTTGCAGCAGCGTCCCAGGATTGACGGGCACGTCTGCGGTCAAATGTTTCAGCTGCCCTCGACCTGCCAGTGGTGGTAGCATGCGTAGCATTTTGAACAGACCTACAGAGTGGTGTCTCAGCAGCCCTCGTGGTCGCTTTTGCAGCAGCGTCCCTGGATTGATGGGCGCACCTGCGGTCAATTGTCTCTATTGCCCTTGATTTTGTAGTGGCAGCAGTGTTTATTACGTTATGAAGAAGCCTTTGATGATGAGTCTCGGAAGCCCGAGATGCTGGGGCAGTTGCTGCAGCCTGTGCGTTCATTCTCGACTGTTGTGCGTTCTTGAGCCTTGATCACAATAAAGCCCTGTAGGAAGCTTTCCAAGCCAAGCAGGTGGCACGCTCCTCTTGTGACTGCAACGCCTGCGAGGAGGCACTGCATTGAGTGACCTGTGGCAGTTGCATTGTAGTCTGCTCCAGGGACTCGCGGATCCTTCTTGCCCTCATAGCGGATGCTCTTGCAGACTGAAGGCTAAGATGTACCCTTCTTTTTGGCTGCATGGGGAAAAGTGATGCTAGTAGTGGTTGATTAGGGTTGCTCAATTGCAGGAGTACAAAGTCTAATTTAGTATCGCAAACCGTGAGCCAGAATCGAGAAGGCAGGTATTTAAGTAAAACAGCTGAATAAATTGTTTATGGTAGTTGGAAAAATGTAGTTAAACAGACAAACGGAAAACAAAAACATGGGAAACAACTTGTGGTAGGAGAAATGATCAGTTGAAGGAGTCTATTGTATCGACTGGATGGCAGCGTAACAGAAGCAAAAGTGAGACCTTCGTTCCACAGCTGTGCACAGTAGGTTCAAATGTGAAGTATTACTGGCCAATCAGCGAGCGTCCTAGGGTCTCGAACACCAATCAGTGACCACGTACTGCAATCAGGCAATGAGATACCGCTATGTGAAGCATGGTCATGTGTGTGTGAATAACAATCAGCTGTAGAGTCTGTAGTGTAGATGTCTCAGTTGAACATACATTTGATTGGTGTATTCGCAAATTCTGATGAAGACATGATTGTATTGACTTCCCTCAGGTATTAGTTGGTCACAAAGGAGCTCACAGGGCAAAAGTTTTTAATTGTCATGACTAAAGCCGATAAAGTTAATCAAAATCACAAGCAAGTTGCGAAAAACATCGCCAAATTCAGGTAAACTCGATTTGAATGGGAAGTCAAAAGTGGTATGATTTTGTCGATTTATATCCGATAATTGAAACCGATATTGAAAACGAAAGTCAGCACCTCAATACTGTCGGTAAATACTATGCTTAATGGGAATTTTGCTGAAAATTCTTCCCCATTTGCAAAAAATATAGCCAAAAATCAGCTAGACTGGACTTGAATCGGATGTCCCAAAGTGATCGATTGTATTGATTTTTTCCAGTAATTGATATCGATATTGAAAATGAATGTCAGCACCTCATAACTATTGATAAAAACAATGCTCAACGTAATTTTGGTGGAAATTCTTTGCCATTTGTGAAAAATATAGCCAAAAATCAGCTTGACTGGATTTGAATTGGAAGTCAAAAGTAGCATGTTATCGATTTTTTCCAATAATTGATACCGATATTGAAGAAAAAGGTCAGCAACTAATAACTCTTGATAAAACTAATGCTCAACATGATTTTTATGTAAATTCCTTGCAGTTTGTGAAAAACATAGCCAAAAATCAGCTAAATTGGATTTGAATCGGATGTCCCAAAGTGATCGATTTTATTGATTTTTTCCGTTAACTGATATCAATTTTTTAAACAAAGAACAGCACATCAAAACTATAAGTAAGGACCTTGCTCAACGTGAATTTGGTGGATATCACTTGTAATTTGTGAAAACTATCACTGAAAAACTGATGAATTTTTTTCAAATCAATATTCGACCCCCTATTGTATTTATCAATTTTTTCCAAAATTGGAGGAACAATCGAAAAATCCGAAGATGTCAAGTATGAATGCTGTAAATTTCTGATCTGTGTATGAATTTTCATGCCAATAGGACAAACGCTTTGCTCAGGATGAGGTAACAAGGTAACAAACACACTAACAGAATGCCATTTATAGATATAGATTTATCATGATCACCACAAAGTGTTTCTCAGATTATATACACACTTCTACTCTGGAATTTAAAATTTAATTAGCAAAGATTGGGTATTATAAATTTAACAAAACTAACAATCCAAAGAATATTTTTCCCCTGATGTTAAAATCAAATTAAATAGCATGGCTATCTGTACAAAAGTTCTGGTCCCTAAAAGTACCACTCTCAAACTAAAGAGTTATTTTTACATAGATGTCAGCCTGGAGAGGCTTGGTCTCTGTCAAGCTATCTAACCCAGGTCACACCACTGCTACTGCAGTACATGTGATGCTCCTATGACCCTAATGGGTTATGGGACTTGTGTTTGTGAAAATATGATAAAATATTTACCAAATAGTTTTTTTTTTTGGGGGGGGGTTAACTCTAAAGATTTTATCTTTAAAGAAGGCTTACATATTACTTGATTTGCAAAATTATCAGAATATCTAGAAAATATTACTGACAAGAAAAATGATGTCAGGAGTAAAAAATGCAATGAAATAAATATAGGCATATGGAAAATATTCTGAGATCTGTGCAAAATCTCCTGTAAATTATAGTGGACAGAATGACATTAGACACTGTAAAGTGTTGTTTACTGTTAAACAAATACAGACAAACATCCAATGCAGTGAAATCAGATATTATTTTACAGCTTATGATTATACTTTAGCATATTGAGACAATTTATTATTAAATTTCGCTTACAAAATCCATGGCACTATAAAGGTAGAGAGAACAACTAAGCAAAAATGGCAGGATAATAATTTATCTTTGATATTATCCATGCTTAGAAAAAATGAATGCTTTCACATGAACATGAAGTTTTCAAGATGTCTGACCCTATTTTAAGTTATTACAGCTTAGATTACAGCAAAAGTACTTAACTTTAAAGTGATTTATGACAAACTAAGACTCACCACCAACAACAACAACAACTAGTAAAATTTTAGAAAGAGCCCAGAAAGAACCATTACATCTAGTAAACTTTTAAAGTATGGTTTGTAATAATACACAAATTAATTTCATGGTTGTGATAAGTAACAGAGTTAAAAAAATTATTAATTTAGTTTTATTACAGGCACTAAATAAAAGACTAGCATTTGGTATTTAAACTTTCATAATAAAACTTCATGAACAGTATTAATAAATTTTGATTAATATTTTTAAACTTCAAAATGATTATGAAAAACTAACCTTAATAATGGAGTATGATCAACAACAGCTTAAAAATTTGTATCTTACAATCTATTCTGCACATCATATAACTGAAATGTAATATCTAAAAGAATGTTGTTTTGTATGATAATGTTAGTTTTAATTTTGGTTACAATAAAAGAAAGGATAGTAGTAATTTCATATAATGAAAAGTATAGTAATTTCATATAATGAAAAACAAATAATGGATTTCAACATATTTTTGTTAGTGCTTTATATATGAAATTCAATCTGTTAAAAGACATATCCTATCATTTATATTCAAAGTATCATCCTTTTATTTGTTTTTCAAAATCAACCTGCTTCATGAAAAATTATTGCATTTACAAAAAAAAGAAAAAAATATATTGCTTATGTTTACAAAATTATAACATCTGACTCAAAGCAAATACAAGTTGATTTACAAAAAGCATTGTGACTGATGAGATGAATACTAAACAATTGCAACAGATATAAATTACTTTTTTTTTTAAATCATTTCACTCTAAGTAAGACAATAACGTCACTAAGATGTAAGGGGTTACTGAGTGTTAGGGAATATGAGAAAAATACTATTAAGGAGAGAGAACAATAAAAGAATGAGAATTAAGATTACAGAAGATAACAATTAACATTGTATTGTAGGTTTTGAAGATCAAACTTGACTGGGAAGCAAGAAGCCAGAAGAGAGTTCTACAAGCAAGATGTGCAATAGAGGAAACTGCTAGCATAGAGCTTAAAGTTAGATCTAGCAATTTCAACTGTAAAATGATGGAACCTAGCTGCTAATCTAGTACTGCATTTAAATTTGTAAAGTCGAGATACTATAGATGAAATTTCATCAGAACAATTACCATGAAAGTATTTATAGAAAAGGCAGAGGGAAACTACATTATGGTGATGGAAAAGTGACTGAAGGTGAGATGCCAGGTCAGGACCAATAACATTGAGGATTGTTCTTTGGATTTTATCAAGAATATATAAATGTATAGCAGGAGCACCAGATCATATGTGGTAGCAATATTCAATGCATGGATGAATGGTAGACTTATAAAGATGTAAGATAGATTCTGGAGAGAAAATTGTCTAGCATGATGCAGCGAACCAACTTTCCTAATAGCAGACCTAGTAATTGATTCAATATAATTGTTCCACTTCATATCAGCAGAAAATGTTAGCCTGAGAAAACATAATGAGTCACTAGCCTGGATGTTAGTATCAGCTATGCTGATGGAAGGCAAAAATGTGTCTTTCAGATGATTTATAGAGAGCAGTTTCATTTTGGAGGCATTAAAATTAACAAGTCATTCATTGCCCCAGTTAACAGTAGATCATTTTGTAGATCACCTGCCAACTTGATCTTATCAAACTGATCAAACTTACTATTAAGACAGGAGTAAATAGTTGTAACATCAGCATAAATACAGAGTTGAGAACTGATGCTATCAAGAAGGTCATTGATGAAGATAAGGAACAGTGTT